TCTCTCTCTCTCTCTCTCTCTCTCTCTCTCTCTCTCTCTCTCTCTCTCTCTCTCTCTCTCTGTACTTTCCTGAATGCATCTGACGTCAGTTATGGCTAGATACTTGCTTGGGAAAGTCCGAGCATGAGTATGCTCTAAGATGCGGTTTTTGAGCTTCACTAAAGTCACCAATTTTCCCGATTTTGCAACTTTCTGGTTATGAACCGTTAGCCAACCAGGCGAGAGCTTGGAAGAAAGAAACGGATAAAAGGCCCTATGGTACTGGCTCCTTGTACTCTGTATCAAACAGATGCTCCCCAGAATAGATTATGAGTTGGAGTCCTTCGGGAATCACAAACTTTTTTTTTTTTTTTTTTTTATTATTATTATTATTATTAAAGAAACAACTCGATCGGATGCTAGGTGTGCTGATAAAAACAGACACCTCTAGCACCATCGGGGGAATCAAACTTTGTGTTTATCTATTGAAGTTATGTTAAGTTGTTAACAGATCATGAGCTTGGATCCTTTCTCTCTCTCTCTAATAGAATTGGGACCTTTCTGTCTCACTTGTGCAGAGATTTGGTTCTTCATGTTGACTATCTGGATGAGGTGTATATGAATAGTGGTTTGGAAGAACTCCGCAATCGCTGTGACAAAGATGAAAGGATGAAGAAGTATCATTTGACGAGATTATACGCGCAGCATTCGTTTTCGCCATCGTACCTCGCATACACGGTGGCATTGTCAGATGATCCCATCAACAAGGATGAGGGTGGGGAGGAAGATGGGGGGCCTATGCCCAGGGCATTGAGGGAGGTAGTGAGGCCCATTGCACTCGAGTGTCTCGATATTTGGTTGTCGCTTCGAAGAAGTCGGGCAAATAATGTGTCGAGCAGCAGCGATAGGGAAAGCCTGGCGAGGAGGGATTACGTGCACCGTGCAGAAACTATCCGGAGGGAGGAGGGACTCGAGCGGACTTTCGGGGTGGAGTTGGCTTCCAAACTCAAAGATGCGATCAAGTCGGTGTAAATAAACCCAGCATGTAATAAGCACTGTCAGGTAAAAAGGACCAAGCGTGCAAAAGCACAATTATTGCTGATCTTTTTGTTGCAGGGTTCTTTTGCTTTTTTCTATTAAACCACCAGTACTTGGCCCAGCTATCGGCTGCGGGGAAAAAATAGAGTAGAAACATTTCTAGCCGGATCAGGCCCAGATGAATTTGGCCGCTCCTGTAGTTGCGCGTACATGCCTTTTAAATGGACAGGAAGTGCTGAGTAGGTCTGGGTAGTAGGTACTTAGGCAGTCTCCCACTGCCTGGAAAATTCGGTTTCTGGCCCATTGCGAAGCCTCTGGCTCTGATTACTTAATTGTCATTCTTATGCTTGCCGGTGATAAGCAACCGGACTGGTGCCCTCCAGAACATAAAGGGGTTGCTTTGTCTTTAAACAACAACAACAACAACAACAACAACAAAAAAAAAAAAAAAAAAAAAAANAAAAAAAAAAAAAAAAAAAAAAAAAAAAAAACGTTATTCCAGTGTCACCGTTTTTGAGGGATGGTCGTCGGCCTTGGCTGCTCTGGTACCTTCCATTGTTTTTCTTGATCCCGGGATCTTCCCGGTTATTTGTAGGACTCTTGATTTGGAATCTACGGCGGTACCTTCTTAGCTAATAGCTAAGATGTTTCGAGACGGTGCTATCAGTGATCTCTCTCTGGTTGTGAAGCCCCTGTCTGGTAGGTCTGCCTTGTATGACGAAGTACTCTTGGCTCTGGTCTACGTCTTAAACCGCTAGTACACGGGCCCAGCCTTGCAGAAAGTTTTTTGTCGCCACAAGCAAAACGCGGAGCCACCGCGCGGCCAGGCCGGCCGTTGAAAAAAAAAAGTCGGCGGCCTCCCAAGTGGTGCGGGTTTCATGCTGACAACCGCAGGCCGATATGTGGCGTACTGGTGGTTTAAATACGAGATGATTTGATACATCAATAGGCACTCTATCATGACGATGATGTAGACCCCTGGTTAGTCCGGTTCCGACGCCGGATGAAACATGTAGGGTCAGCGTCAGAGGTGTTCAACCAGGATTTTGACGATACGGGCACAACGCCTATCTGTGGTGTGGTTTGAGCTCAATGGGCTGGTGTTTCATGTTTTTATTGAGAGCTTATCATGTTGTGTTCGGGAGACTGTGACGTGTCACTCTCTTTCTTCATTCTTCTTCCTTCTTTCTCCTCCTTTTTTGTTTCGTTTCTCTTCTTCTTCCTAATATCCTGCTGTCTGTGTGAATAGTCTTCTCCGCGGTGCATGTTGATAGATTGCATGCTAATCATTATGTCTCTTTTGTGCATCACGATTTGAGTTACTTTAGGCCTCTGGAGGCCGACATTGAAATTGGTATGCTGAATGCTATGTGAGACTTGACTGATGCTGTGCAAGTACGAAATGATGAAAGAGCTGTCAGGGCGCTGGACGCAGAAACCGTTTTTCAGCAGCTGTACCAGGTGGTTTAACACCTACACCATCCTCAGCTACAGTAGGACTCTTGCGGAATGGAAAAAAAAGAACAAGAACGAACGGACACTTTGTGGAAGTATTAAGCCCTTAGTAGTTAAGGCTAAACACAGCCCAGAAGGTATTCATGTGAGCTTCCAGCTGCTTCCTGACTCCGAAGTTAAATTTGATATGGTGTTCATGTTGAGGTACTCATTTGCTACCAGTGCTTCCAAGGACTTCTCATTTTCTTTTTGCAGTCAAATGGTACCAGGCCTGGTTAGGTATGGTGCCAGCCCTGCCTGTCTTGGACTTGTTAGAACAGGCGCACAATACCCGGCCTTGTTAGTCTGATGACTTACTGTGGCCACCAGTCTGAGAAGGGCTGGTGTGGGGAGGAATGGGGTTTGCTGAATTTCAAGTTCCGTTAAACCACCAGTATCTTTCTCAGCTATCCATGCCGAGCCTAAAATCGCCCTGCGCACTGAAAGAAAACGAACCGGCGCGGGCCTCATTTTGGCTCCCGCCGCTAGCCATTTCGGTCCGTACCACCGAACCCCGCCTGCCCCCCTCGTTACCTGGCCCGTGATGGCAAAATAGCTGGGAAAGGTACTGGTTGTTTAACTTTAAATAAGGCTTTTCCTGAAGGGTCTACTGCAAGTAATTCATGGTCGTGAGGTCACTCTGTGATTCTTTTTCTGGTGCCGATGATAGGATTGGTACCAGGCCTTGTTAGGTATGGTGCCAACCCTGCTCGTCTCGGGCTGCGAGAGAAACAGGTGCACAGTATCAGGCCTTGTTCGGGTAAGGACTCACCGTGGCTGCCAGAAGGGCCGGTGTGGGGAGGAAGGGTGTTTTTTCTTTGAAACATGCACGGACGCGGCTGGTTTCAAACTCGAATGGCCAAAAAAACACGCACAGGCGAAACAAACAGCCATCAAACTCAAAGAGACACATGGGCGAAATAGATCTGTTGGCCCTTCTTTTCTTTCTTTTTTTTTCCCTTTCCCGTCTGCCAACCCTGCTCGTCTTGGGCTGCGAGAGAAACATGTGCACAATATCAGGCCTTGTTCGGGTAAGGACTCACCATGGCTGACAGAAGGACCAGTGTGGGGAGGAAGGGTGTTTTTTCTTTGAAGCAAGTGTGGACGCGGCAGATTTCAAACTCGAATGGGCAAAAAAACACACGCAGGTGAAACAAACAGTCGTCGAACTCGAAGAGGCATGTGTTGGGCCAAATAGATCTGTTGGCCCTTTTGTTTTGCCCCTTTCCTGTCTGACATCACGGCCCGGCCATGTAGTTAACCAACTTATCGTACCTGTGGCTCTGTCACATCGGCGGTGCTTTCGTTGCCTTTTCGAGTTTGGTAGCTGTTTGTTTTGGCAAGGCCCGCATTTGTTTTTTTTGCCCATTTGAAACTCGAGGTGACATAAATGAGCTTTGAATTCCTCCATTCTTTATTTTGGAGGTTAAACCACCAGTACTCGTCCCAGCTATTGGCCGCCGGAAAAAATAGAGTAGAAACACTTCTAGTCGAATGAATGTGGACGCTCCTGTACTACCTGTAGTGGCCCGTACGTTTCCTAAAGATGTGGCTTGTTAACGGGCACAACTTTAGGAAGTACTGGTGGTTTAAATAAGGCTTTTCCTTACTGCAGGTAATTCATGGTCATATCCAGCGGCCTAGCTCAGTTGGTAAGGCATGCAAGTGGCATTCAGGAGGTCCCCATTGGCCTCATGTACCTTCCTGGGCATGCTTGGTGCCCGCCACCTAGAGATAGCACGTTGGTCCCCCCGATTGGCACTAAAAAGCAGTCTCTGCTGATGTTCATAGGGGGAGGGGTAATCGGGGAGGCACAGCGACTGGCCACTCAGATGATGCTCAGTCCCTCTACCACCGGCTGTCCCCTGGCCGATGTCCTCCGTTGGGGTTCCCTGAAGGCAATCAAGGCCACCCAGGCCACCCGATGTCAGATTAGACACAATATTGAATTTACCTCGGCTGGTTAGTCCGATGATAATACCTCAAGGCCATCGCCCTTTTACATATATATATATTATATATAATAATTCATGGTCATGAGGTCACTCCTTTTTCTTTCTGTGTGACTGCATTGTCTTCGTACCAGGCCTTGTCAGCCGTAGTACCATACCTTTTTTGTTTCTTTTCCCTTTTTTTTGTCCTGAGGTTTGACGGCTGCAGTCTTATTCGTGGGGAGCATCATGTGCTGGGAACCAGGCCCACCGTCCCTCAGATACGACCTGTATCTGACCCAGTCACATAGTCCTCCATTCTGCCCTTGACTCCGACCATGCGGGCCTGACCTCGTGCCATTACCAAACCTGCCATACCCAGCGCTGAAGAAGGGCAATCAGACTTCTGGGGTTAGCTAGCAATGTTGTGTGCTTACGTAGATTGAACGTGGACCAAAGTGCAGACCTGGTGCAAGAAATGCTGGACTGAAGACCATTACGACGGCAACGAGTGTCTTGAGACGGGGAACAGCGATGATGATGGCGAGGAAATGGAAAAGAAGGTGGCGGTGATGGGCTAGGAACGGGGGTAGGCGGGGTAGAGCGCAGTTCAATGCGCATCGAACGCCGCTCTACTCCCCCACCCACCCACCGTTGTAATCCTGTCGAACGGGGAAAAGCGGCCTTCCCGTCGTTTAAAAAAAAAAAAAAAAAAAAAAAAGAAAAGAAAAAAAAGAAAAAAAAGAAAGCGCAAGGGCAGTGGGGAGCTGTGGATGCCGCACGCCCTGGGTCTGGCACGCAAGAACGGAAAAAGGAGAAAAA